AAGTATAAACCCCGCACCCAGTACCCTGATAATAAACTTAAGAGATCACTATAGCTGAATTTGACTCCACTACCAACTCTGAAGCTCCCAAATTTGCGGCCAACTCCAACCCAGCACAAACAATCTGCATCTCTGCATACAAGCCAAAAGCCCTGAGAACCCGACTCTGGTGGTCCTGAATAACACCCCTTGCCGCAGACAGCCCTAGATTACTTTTAGAACAGCCATCAACACTGATCTTCAGGCAACCAGGTACATGACGAGTCCAAGCAATCAAGCGGAGAGGGTGAGGCCGAGGAACGAAGACCCTAAGAGAACTCACAAACTTAACCAACTTATTCCGACGCAACTGACTCGGAGCAAACCCAAAAGTAAGCCCAATCAACTGCATATCGGCCTTAACCATCTGAACTACAACGGGCATTTGAAAAGTTCGGCCATTGAACCTATAAGCATTACGCGCCTTCCATAGGTGCCACAAAATAAAGCACAGTAATAGTACTTGCACATGACCTGCAAAAAATGTACAATGCCGCCAACGAAGCATTAAAGCATAAGAAGACTGAAACAACCAAGATCTGATTCCAAACATTCGATAAAAGTGAACCCACACCTTAACTGTAAGCGGACAATCTAAAAAAAGGTGTCTAAGAGTCTCAACAGTCCCACCACACACACACACCGGGATACTACATGAAAACCCTGTCTCTGTAAGCCACCATCTATAGCCAGGAAACCATGAAACAACCACCACATAAAGAAGGAGACCTGAGTCAAAATATGCCTCTGCCAGACACAAGAAAACCTAGCCCGAACTAGAGCCACACTCCGAATATCAGCCCAAGCAGTCTTCAAGGAAAAATCTCCATCCAAAGACAAACTCCACCCCATCTAATCAACCCCTTAATTCGGAATCAGAATCTGCATAATTTGCTCGACAACTAAGGAAGGCAAAACCCCCAACAATCGACCTCTGTCCACTGTCGACCTGCCCAGTAAGTAGAAACAAGATAGTTTGACAATAGTTGTAGCTTAATCTTTCATGCTAGACATACCAACAGGATAAAAGTATAGTTTTGTATACAAGACTTTCATCAATACAAGATATGAGAATAGTCAAATGTACGCAGTTCTTGGCATGCCAATATACAAAGAGATTCTTTCTATAACTCGTAAGGGCGGCTCAAGAACATGAGAGTCCTGAAGCGATAAGTATCATGAGAGTCCTATGATGCCTTCCAGACGAGGGGTCTCACCTTCTCCACCTTGGCCACCTCCCGAGACTATACGTAGCTCGGCCTATGACTCTACTCTCGCGCAAGTCTTTGCCACGGCAACCATCTCCGGAGACTATATGTGGCTTGGCCTCTATAACTCTGCTCTCGCGCAAGTCCATCTCCCGAGACTATACGTAGCTCGGCCTCTATGACTCTACTCTTGCACAAGTCCATCTCCTGAGACTATACGTAGCTCGGTCTCTATGACTCTGCTCACGTGTAAGTCTCTGTCACAACAGCCATCTCTTGAGATTGTACGTAGCTCGGCCTCTATGACTCTACTCACGTGCAAATCTCTGCCACGGCAGCCATCTCCCGAGACTATACGTAGCTCGGCCTCAGCTCATGCGGCTCTCTCACGGGACTTCCATAGCTCTCACGTTGCTCTCATACAAATAGCCTACCCCTCTCTCCAAATAATCATGTGTAGATATTTTAATGTTGAGATAACATTATTTTTGTCAGGCACACTATTGAAGCTCGGGTCATCTACAACCGAGCCACTACTAGAAGCAGGGTGATGCCACAGTCCTCGTAAAAACTACACTGGAGCCTTAACTCTTACAGCGGTACAAGTACTAATTCTGATACACATAGAAGCCTCAATCTGGGAAGGAGCGGGGGCACCACTGGACCCCGCTCCCAGGAAACAACTTGGTCATTGGACCTTGGCCGAAAAGTACTGGGAGCATCAAACTTCGCCCTTTTGGAGGAGGAGAAGACACCACCCTAAAAGCACAAGAGTCTCCACCATCGCTCTATCAACCGGGCGCCTATAATTAGAGATAAGGTCAATTAGTGAACAAGCATTAGAGAGGCGTCGCCCATAGCAAGACTCAAAGCGTCCCCCAAACACAGGAGTGCTCAAGGCCTCCTGGCGTCGCCCAAGGTGCCTAACCAGCCTCCTAGCATCACTTGAAGCACCATCACAGTCTCTTTCTGGCGCCGCCCAAGCTAGCACACAGCCTTGGCGTCGCCCAACGCTTGGCGCCCAATAGACCCTCTCATTTGACCAGTAGGCGTCATCCAAGGAAGGAAGCTAAAAGAAAAAAAAAANAAGGGGGGGGGGGGGAGAGAGAAGTCAGGCGCCCAGCAAGCAATCCAAGAGAAAAAAAAAGGGGAGAAAAGTCAATAAGAGTCGGTGGAGCCCAATCAGCCCAAAAAAAAAAAAAAGGAAGAGAGCCAAAAAAAAAATAATTTGTTTCGACTCACTCCAATGAAACCTCCAAAGGGAAACATTCAATTAAAACAAATAATAAACGGGTTGGATTAGTAACTCAATGCTGACATCCAAACTGCTTAATTAATATTGTAAAAAGATAATATACATTTTTTTTATTAATTTAGTATTATATAAATTAATATAGGATTACATGGTTTTTATTTAGTTTTAATACGATGTGGATCAAATAATTTTGAAAATGAAACTCTAGTATTGTAATATCTAGTTCACGAAATATACAAAAATGACATGACCTGAATATAACATACTACATCTCGATCCATTTTTTCCAATGGGAAGAAGAACAAAACAAATAAAACAAAAGACTGGCTAGACTCATCCAGTAGCAATCATGGATAGAAATGAAGTTGAGTAACAATTTAATAGAGAAGATCTCAATTAAGATATACTAGTGGAGACAAGTAGATGATCTTCACTCGGTATTTATTAATCATCTAGCAATAGAGATGTATTCTGATCGTACCCATAATTTTTTTTTTTTTAGATTTTATCATATCATTGTATTTTTATTGTATTATATCTGTATAACGTATCCATAGCCATATTCATAGCTTGAAAGGGAGGAAATTAGGAACAAAGACAGAGTGAAACAAGTGTTCAAAGCAGCCATTGAAGTACACAGAGCTACCTAGCTACCTCTTTGAACTGTGAGAATATGTTGTTCTTTGTTGAAGACCGAAGTTCTTGAAGGTTATTTATGGTGGGAGAAGTGTTTGAATTGTTCTAATATTGTGAGAGAATGTAGGTTGGGTAAGTGGGAATAAGCTCTGGTTAGCTCACCTTCTCAACTGGATCATCTCTTTTCAATTTCAAATATAATCCAAACGAACTCCACCTACGGAAGCTCGACACTTGCAATCTGTCTGATGCCATGAGAACTGGAAGCTCATGAGTCTAACAATATGCCAACAAGAAATTAGAACTTAACCCTAAGAGGTGCTCAAACGGACAAACATATGCCCGACAATTTTCAACATGATTCCTTAGTCCAGAATGAGTATTGAAGATTGTTTAACTTTAATCGGTCGGGTTCATAATCGAATTGACCAGCCAAACCCACTTAATGCGTGAATCGACATAATGTAGTTATATACAATATAAATTTGATTATGATTTACATATGACACAAACTCAATATGATACGAATCTTACTAAGAACGATTATGAATGAGTTGAATTTGGTTAATTTTATCCAATTTCGAGATAACACAATTTAAACAAAATACAAACCGAACATGATATGATATATAATCAGTCTGACCAGTTATACCCATTTAATAAATGGTCTGCTAGTTATACTGGACAAAAGCTCGAGTATGCACAATTACACGAGACTTAAGTATAGTAGGAACATTAAACGATCCAAAATGACTATGCACGATTACAAATGAGTTGAATATGATTTTAATTACTCTTGACACAACATGACCTAATTATGATACGAATCAAATTATACACAACGAATCCTCGTCTGTCTTGTCACAATTATAGATTAGCATATAATTATAACTGGACTATGGTCGTATATATTTCAACGGTCAAAATAAATTTGGTTTTAATTTCATAATTTTTTTTTTTTTTTAAAAAGAAGCTATTATCCAGTTTTATCCTGTTAATTGACGATACATCCCGGAATTGATGGAGTACTGACCGAATTAATTTTGAGCATTCATGTGCTTCTTTTTTTCCTAAATTGTGTTGTGTATAAGATGTGCCTTCATCTTGTGCTTCATGGACCCATTCTTCTCGCCTTTAGGAATCAACTTTTAGCAAGTGAACACCATTGAAGTACCTCGGTCTAGTTCTATTTGCACAAGGAATCAAATATCACAATTTCGAATATTGTATAGAGGGATGAGGAAAAGCTGAAAAAGGGGCACATTAAAGCTCCCAAAAAAGGTGGCACGAGTAATCAAGCCTTGCTTTTGATAAGAATTGATGTAGTGTTCTCTTGATTGTAAAATCTACACAGAATCAAGGGTGACCAATTAAGTTGAACCAATTATTTTAAGGAGCCGCATTTTGATCAATCAAATCTCTTTTCAACTAAACAGCCAACAGAATATTTTGAATTTTTATTAACACTCAAGACCTTGGATAATAAACTAAAAAGTAACAGAAAAGGGGCTTGTATTATTGAAAAACCAATCAATTACAACACACTTCAATCTAACATATCTTAGAGAAGAATAATATAATGCAAGGAAACTCCTGATCAGTAGGATACAAGACATAGGATTTGCTAAATCCAAACGAAATACAAACACAAAGTAAACATAAAACCATGATCGGTTTCATATATCCGAAGACTCTCATCTCAGGACAATCAAAAGACACATCTAGTAGTACCAAACCATGACAGTGGCTCCAAAGAAACAACAAATCCTGACCAATCAATGGTGTGAAAGAAATGTTCGCATCTCAAGGGCTAGTTTGATGGTGGAGGTGAGAGAAAAGGGATTGAAGGAATTGTTGTCGGAATGGTAGGGATTGAAGGGATTGTGGTCGGAATGGTAGGAATTGAGGGGATGGTGGGCAGTGAAGTGGCAGGCAGCGGTGGCAGCGACACCTTTGGAACGGTGGGCATGGTGGGCAGCAGCGGAATCTGGGTGGTCGGCAAAGGTGGCAATGTCGGTTTTGGCAGAGTCGGGACTGTTGGCAGTGTTGGCATTGATGGGAGTGGAGGCAGTCCTGTGGGCTTAGGGAGAGATGGAATTGTAGGCAGTGTAGGTACAGAAGTTTGCAATAGGCTGCGAGCACCAAGGCTCACTTGGAAGCATGAAAGTGACAAAATTAGGATCAAAGACAGAATGGAACAATGGTTAAAAGCAGCCATTGAAGAATAAAGAGATAGGTACTATTTGATGTGCTATGAGAGTATAGATTTTTGAGTTGAAGGACAGAAGCTGATCCTAAGGGTTATTTATAGTGAGAAAGTGTTTGAATTGCTCTGGAATGTAGGTGGGTAAGTGGGAATAAGCTCTGGTTAGTTCACCCCCTCAACTAGATCCATCTCTTGCAAGTTCACATATAATCAAACGAACTCCACCTAACGAAGCTTGACACTTGCAATCTATCTAATGAAATGAGAACTGGAAGGTCATGAGTCTAACAATATGCCAACAAGAAACCAGACCTCAAACCTAAGAGATGCTTTACGGAACAATATGCCAACAAGAAATTAGAAATTAGAACGTAACCAATTGCCAACATGATTCGTCAATCTAGCACAATATCAGATCGTAACCTTTTAGAGTTTCGTTGATTTCTCAGAATATCAAGATAAAAAGGAACTGCAAGAGAAATTGTCTGTAAATTTTATTCAAAATAATCAAGGTAAGTCTGTTTTTCACCCCTTGGCCCCATGCACCCCACCAAAAAAAGAAAAAAAAAAAAAGGTTATGTTTTTCACCACAATATAAATAAGAAACTCTAATGGTCTCAAATTACCAAAAAAAATAAGCAAATGCGCAAAATATTATGAAAATACTCCAAAAAGATGGCTAAAAATAGAAAAGTGACTAAAAAAGTGTTGTCAACGTTATTTTTTGACTTAAAAACTACTGAATTAATGGTGAACTTCAGTCTTTCATAATTTTTGGATATTATAGCAAAAATCAGCACTAATTTGTGCCCGATCAATATTGCTTTCGACAGTCCTGATCTACCATCTAGTTTTCCGCTATACGTAATACATCAATTACGTATTAAAAGTGGTTTAACTTTAATAGGTTTGGTTCATAAACAAATTGACTAGTGAGACCCACTTGATACATGGGTCAACAGAATGTAGATATATATGATACAAATCCTAATATAACTTATATTTGACACAAATTCGACACAACACGAGTCTTAGTATGCTTGATTATGAATGAGTTGGGTTTGGTTAGTTTTATCCAATTTTTAGACAAACACGTTATTAAAACAAAAAACAAACTAGACATAACACGATATATTATCTGAAGCATCATATCCACTTAATAAATGAGTTGCTAGCTATAACAAAAACTTGACTATCCACAGTTAGATGTGATGCATATATGTGGCTTTTTGAGTTGACGGACAGAAAGCTGATACTAATTAAGTAATATTCAAAGTGAGAAAGTGTTGAATAGTTGTAATATTTTAGGCGATAAAGCACTGGTTAGTACACCTTATTCTCAACTATATATATCTCTTACAAATTTCAAGTGTAACCAAACAAACAAACTCAACCTATGGAAGCTTTTGACACACTTGTTATGCGATTCTGCATGCGACCCACGTCATTTAACTTAAGAGATTTTATTTATATTCTGATAATCCTCCGGTTTAACATGCATCAACTCATTAAAGTCTAGTGCTATGTTGACAAAAAATTGGACAAAAAACAGTGATTAAATGATATGGCATTACCATAATGATGGTGCTGGTGTCACTATTATACATTTGAAATTCAAATTTGTTCTATTATAATAATGTCACATCATTTGGTCACCTTTTTTTTTATCCTCTTTTTTGGTCAGTGTACCACTGTTGCCCACTTCAATTTGTGTTGAGCCCATAAATGGTACAAGTAGGCACATGACAAGGGCAGCATGCCCCAATAATGCCACGCACCGCAATATGCTCCGACATCTACCCAAGTGGGTGGGAGAACAAACAGGCACTTCGCATTGTTAGGCATCATCGGAGATTTAGGCACATCGACCCCACAAGCACCTCCTCGCTGCCCCCAAGGGCTCAACACTAACTTACATATGTGGCTTGCCCTCATTAACTAATCATATGGTGATAGAGATAGGGTGACAATAATATTATTTTGACTTATTTTATGATATAATTTGTTGGCGTGATCTATCACAATTGTTGAATTAATTGTGGATCTCAAATAATACTAGAACATTCTATCAATCTAACAATAACAAATAATTAGGTCAATAAATTAAGTTTAAATAAAATTGCTTCCGTGCAAATGCAAGTGTTTTGTGATGTGGAAAAGTTTAGGGCAATTGTAAGTCCGGCAAAGAGTGTTTATTTCATGTTTAAGAACAAAAGACTCACACTACTATCTATATAATTAGATAATTTGGTTATGTGCACTCTAATATTTTGTTTTCATATTAATTGGTATAGAATCATAGCTAAATGATTATTAACTTTGGCTCATGGTTCATACATGTTCGTGTAAGGTTTTGAGAAATTTGGATGATTTTGTAACTTTCATAACAAATGTATCATAATTTTGTTATCGTACTTAACATTTGGGTCATTGTGCTTATAATTTAATGTTAAAATCGCAGGGAGTTAAAAAATTCCACAAAAAGCGACCAGAGAAGGGGAAGGGGGTTAACGACATAACTGAATGGGTCACAAAAGTTTATTATTTATCTCTCTTTTGCTTTTACTCATTTTGTATACTGGTTTTAGACTTGTTATGTTTAATGAATATATGCGTGTCAAATTTTTATTCAAATTAATGTAAATGTCTCAATTTATCGATTGAGAGAGAAAAATTGAAGCTTATTAAAATGGCCACTCAAACAATAATAGGTGTTTGGACATCAAACTCCAATTAAAAAAAAAAACTGCAACTGTAATAGGTGTTTGGTCATAGTTTGACTGTAATTAACACTAGTGTGGAGTAAATCAAAGTCACATAAACAAGCACTGACATTGAAAGAATCCAAGCAATTACAACTAACTCAATCTAAAATCATTAAAAACAGGTAGAATATATTGCAAGGAAAATCCTGAATGNAAAATGGCCACTCAAACAATAATAGGTGTTTGGACATCAAACTCCAATTAAAAAAAACCTGCAACTGTAATAGGTGTTTGGTCATAGTTTGACTGTAATTAACACCAGTGTGGAGTAAATCAAAGTCACATAAACAAGCACTGACATTGAAAGAATCCAAGCAATTACAACTAATTCAATCTAAATTCCTTAAACAGGCAGAATATATTGCAAGGAAAATCCTGAATACAATGCAAAATACAGTATTTATTTACTCAATCCCAATGAAATACAAAAACACAAGTAAAACATAGAACCAGCCATGTGCGGTTCCATAACATCCCAACACTCTCTACACAATCAAAAGACACTGCTAATTAAAGTACTAAATGATGATAGTAGTTCAGAAGAAATAATAAATCCAGGCTAATCAATGGTGTGAAGAAAATGTTGGCATCTCAAGGACTAGTGGTTGGTGGTGGTGGAGAGAGAAAAGGAATCGAAGGGAATGTCGTCGGAATGGTGGGAATTGAAGGGATGGTGGGCAGAGAAGTGGCTGGTAGCGGAGGAAGCGACACCTTCGGGATGGTGGGCAGCGGTGGAATCTGGGTGGCCGGCATAGGCGGCAACGTGGGCTTCGGCAGAATCGGGACTGTTGGCAGTGTTGGCATTGCTGGCAGTGGGGGCAATGTGGACTTAGGAAGAGATGGAAATGTAGGAAGTGTTGGTGCAGAAGTTTGCAAGAGGTTGCGAGCTCCAAAGCTCATTTGGATACTTGACAAAATTAGGATCAAAGAGAGAATGGAAGAATAGTTAAAAGAAGCCATTGTTATGCAGAAGCGTGAAGCAGAAGTATGTATAAAACAGATAGCTCTTTGAATGTGATTAGAATTTGTTGTTTTGAATTGAAGGAAAGAAGTTCCCAAGGGTTATATTTATAGTGAGAAAATTGTTGAATTGTTCATATAATTGGATGGGATGTAGTTGGGTAAGTGTGAAGAAGCATTGGTTAGTTCACCTTCTTCTCAACTAGATTTCTTGCCAGCTGATCAGATATACATAATCAAACAAACTCCACCTAAGGAAGCTTGACACTTGCAATCTAATCTCAAGCAACCATCTGACAATTGTTTTTGGCGAAAAATGTCACCAAAGGTCAAGTTGGTTCTGGTGGCGTGGAAGAGTAGGATCAAAACTAGGAAGATAGCATGACTAACGAGAGTAAACGAGTGCCTCAATTATGAAACGNACCAAAGGTCAAGTTGGTTCTGGTGGCGTGGAAGAGTAGGATCAAAACTAGGAAGATCATGACTAACGAGAGTAAACGAGTGCCTCAATTATGAAACGGTGCAATCCATTCGTATAGTATATTATCATACTCGAATCATGTTATTTTTTTGTATTTAGTTGGCTTAGTTCACATTCTTTTCAATTGTTTAATTAATCGATTCAAACGATCTATCAACGAGCATAATCCACAAATAGAAAATTCAAGACAAAGACATATTCTCTTAGTCAAATTCTATTGTTGAACTAGAATTAGTAATTACTATATTTTTATTTTTATTATTTTTTAAATTTAAATTTTAATTAGGAATATTTTAGAGTGTGTNATCGATTCAAACGATCTATCAACGAGCATAATCCACAAATAGAAAATTCAAGACAAATACATATTCTCTTAGTCAAATTCTATTGTTGAACTAGAATTAGTAATTACTATAGTTTTATTTTTATTATTTTTTAAATTTAAAATTTAATTAGGAATATTTTAGAGTGTGTAATTAGCTACCTAAAAATGTCAATTTTCTTAATTTCATTGAATAAATGTTTTATTTATTTTTACTAACTTTTCTAAGACTAAGAATTTAGGTCTATTTTAGAAACCTTTATTAGAGATTTGGGAATGCCTATAAATTGTCCTATGTACTAACCATTTTAATCAATCAAACCAGTTGAGAAATACAACGTTTGAAAGTTTTCTGTTACTTTTTTCCGTAGATTTAGAATGTTTTGTTCTTTGCAATTAGGGACGAAAATCTCAAATTCGCCACTTATAGTAAAACCAAAATTTAAAAAAAAAAAAAAGGATGAATTGCACTTTATACCCAAAAAATTTAAGAATTTTTACTTTATACATTTAAATATTAGATTTTTTGCATCGCACCTTCACTGTATTAAAAGTGTTGTAATATAGTTATTTCATTAGTTTCTATTATTCATTCCGTCAATGTCAATGGGGTGAGTTTTGACTAAATAAGTAACAAAAGGTAACGGAAGAATCATATTACAATATTTTTAATACCTTAAAGGTGTAATGTGAAAAATTAAATTTTTGAGGGTACAAAATTGAAAATAAAAAACATTAGATCGTGTGGAATTCAGATTATTCCTGTTTGACATTAATCAATAGATGAACCGGAAAGATTGTATGGCAGGCCTCCCCAAGGCCCCATGGCTTAAGCTCATGAGCGCAGCGATTTCCAAGCCTTGGAAGTTGTTATATAGCATTTGGGCCTGCAAGCCATGAGTGGGCTAAACCAGAAGGGGCTGTGATTCTTAAAATGGCAGGCTATCTTATGTTCGATAGTATTGGACTTCCTTTCTTGATTTGGACTTTATCAACTGGACTAACTCCCTTTGAACTTGTTACAACGCAAACTCTTGATACATACTATCACTTGTCAAGCCATACGCTTCAAATTACTAATGAATTGAGTTTTTTGGCGTAAGATTTGGTCATAATCATATTTAGTGTCCCTATTTGTGTTGGGACAGTCTGTGCAGCCCTTTGATATTAATATTTGTGCAAAACGATTGTTTTCAAGTAAAACTCATAATCTTATATGACTATTATNATTAATATTTGTGCAAAACGATTGTTTTCAAGTAAAACTCATAATCTTATATGACTATTATTTTGATACTTTTACCACTACACTCGACAATGTCAACATGATATAAATATTTACAGCTAACTAGTGATTCTTGTTCTTTAGTTTAACGACTGAAGGTTGTAGTTAGTGGCACCCTTCAGAAGAATGAAGATCATGCCTACTTCTGGCTTTATTCCTCTCTCTCTCTCTCTCTACTTTCTTCACCACTGGTTTTATTCATTTATTCCTTTCCCATTGAAAGTGCAGCGCCTCACAGTAAAAGGCATTAGATTCTGAGGACTGTGGGAATGCTAAATTTCAATGTATCGAAGTGAAACTAAGGCAAAAAGTTGGCATTATACACTGGCATATGCCTTTTACGTATTTATGGCCAAGGTAAACAGAAGTATGTAATATTCCTTCCCCATTTTTAGATTGAAATCACTTTGCAAAACAAAGTTGAAATTCACATATTTTGGTTCCACACCTATGTCAAAACGAGCAATGTAAGGGTGTGATTCGTGTGGATTGAGAGGTCAAGCTGGAATTGAACTCGAATTACAAATAATTAATCTAAACCTAGTGTGACTTAGACCTTTGACCAAAGTTCTTCTTGTGCTTAGATTATGTTAACTCGAGTAAAACTCTGGTTGATGGATTGATCAATAAATTTGGCCAAGATTCTGTAAAGAGGTCATTGTTTAGAGATCTGTTGTTGAAGGTCGGTATCCATTACGCCAATTAAGATCCTAAGACCTATCAAAGAAATTTTTAAGAGTAGGAAATCGGTGTTGTTCCAGCCAAACCACTTTCGATGTCTAAGTCAATAAGTAAATATGGTTGGAAAGTCGTAAAAGAAGTATATAGTTTGCTTAGACACAGGTTTATTCTTCTTGAAAGAATTGCTTACCTTTGCCCTTCATCAATGAGGGATTTTATAGATAGGGTTAAGTAAAGTTTTGGTTTAATGGGTCATCACTAAGGTTAATCATGTATCGTTGAGTCTGCCTTAAGCTAACCCATGCATATGCCTTAATTCCTAGCGTGTCACTGATTTATTCAAAAACTCATGAATAACGTTAAATATAACGTGTCATGTGCCATATTTTTTCTGATGCCCATGCGTGTATGTACATACTGACGTGTGAG